CTCTAAAGAGAGAATTTCTGAACTGTTGAACTTCTTTGCAGGCAATTCAGTAATGATCCTTCACCTATGCAAATGTCTCATATCTGTACCATCCAGATGTCCTTTGAGCCTACAGGCAGCTGATGGTTTCTTCCTTTGGTTCCTGTGTACTTTAATCTGCTAATATCACCCACACTGAATTTCAAAAAAGACACATTATTTACATTTAGTAATTGCTTGGATAGCAACCAGTTCTTCCTGCCCTTTCAGAAAAAACAAGCCCCTAAAACAAGCAGGCCTTTCATCTGAGGAACTCAAAAGGCTTTACTGCTGTTAATCCAGATCCCGGCCCTGCTGGGCATCATCTATGGATTCCTACGGATGGAACTGGGGCAGAAGTTAAGCACTTTACCCACGGGCACCCACAGAAGATGGAGCAATAAAGGAACTGGGTTGCCCTCCCGTGTGCTCAGAGTTCACAGGTCTCTGCTCCTTTCTTTAAGCCACAGAGCATGCAAATACCCTTCTCTTTAGCAGGTGTTACAAACACTGGAATCTTGGCCTTGGCACCTGCAGAAGGCCTTTCGTTGAGCCAGATCTCATCCACTTTCATTTCAGCTTTACTTCCCAAGTCATAGTCCTTCCAGACGACTATATTCCTCGAGCAGCAACAAGCATCCCAGAGTGTCAGTTTACACCTCTAACACCCTGCAGAGCAGCGATGCAGGGGAAAGTGTTCTTTGCACTTAGTAGGTCTGTTCTGCGAACAGGTTTCATTCATTAAGCGCTTCCATATTTTGAATCATGCTGAAATTTCCACTGTTGCGTGCCAGAATGACATGGATCCACATTCCAGATCACTATTTACTACCCACAGCTCTGTTCTCTTCTCACTCTCTACAAATGCTGGAGAGGCAAGATGAAGAACAGGCCAATCAATGCACACCACCTATAGCAGGGAAGCAAAAGTTCATCCACTTCTCTCCCTGAAGCCTAAATAAAAAATCCTCAAAATACTCAGCATCTACCTCTACAGAGCAGCTGGGAACCACAAAAGGAACCTGTGAAATCAATTGTGCATGGGCACGTTCAAGAGAAACAGTGCATTAGGAATGTTTTGAAAAAATATGCATGTATTTCTCTTTCACAGCAGCTGGATTGCTTACTGGTTTCATCCTGCACAATGGCATCAGCTGCACAGACACAAGGGATTGCACTGCGTTGCCAGGGATGCTGCACAATTTATAACTAGCTGTGTTCTAATAAATAATAATGTGCAAGCTTCTGGTTGCAAGCCACCACAGCCTCACTGACTCAATGGGTGCTATGTCAACCGAAACTAATTAAAAATCTAACTCATTTTTAGTGGAATGGATAAAAGTTGAAGTGAAAGCCAGGAAGAAAAAGCTGAGAAAGTGGCTTCTGATAGAAGAAAGGGTTTCTAAAGCAATTTCCCATGCCACGGAAATTATTGTCCAAACGGGTTGAAGATGACCGTTCTCTGTATCCATTTTCCTTTCTCTCCTCCTTTTTTTTTTTTTGGCAAGGGTGGGGTGGGGGTGCAGCAGCCAGGAGGTTGTACCAAAGCTGTCTTGCTAGTAAGGAGTTTGTGCATGTTCTCTTTCTCTCCTTTCCTACTCTCCCTTTTCCTTTCACGAGAAATAATATCTCGCACAAGGCTGCTGGCCAAAGCAGAGCTTCACGTGGGGAAGATTAGTTTCAGGCAGCATTCACCAGCACAATGGGAAACAGCACACTCAGGAGAGGGTTCAAACCAAACATGAATTCTGTAGATCCTAGCAGGCCTCGCATATCGTGCCTGTTAGCACAAGCAACAGCTGCTCACTTTAGCAAAAGGTGCTACACAAGAGATCTTACAAAAGTAGGGACATTTGTAAGAACTGAGGCCAGAGCATGAAGTCCTGCATTCCACAAGGAACTGGAAGGAGCCAAGTCACAGGATTCAAACTTCGTGATCTGGAGAAATAAGGTCTGGAATTTCGGTTTGGACCCATCACTACCAAGCTGAGCTTCCAAGTGCTTCAAGGCAAATACGTTGTCTCCAAGAAAGAAAGAAAGTGTTGTTTGCAAAGCTCACCCCCCTCGAAGATAATTTAAAAGCTCCTTCAAATATCTACATCTGTCCCAGAACTAAAACAAACCTCTATTTCCTCCAGACAGTCCCAGGACTGTGTTACAGAGCAGCACTGAGGACTACAAAAGCTTCCATGTGCTGCATGATACAGTGCTTTATGGTGACACAGGGTTATAGACAGGCCTTCTGCTCAGCTCCAGTCCAGCAATTTTACCTTATGCACAGAGGGCTGCAGTCCGCACTCACACACCAGTCCACTACACTTTAATGGCACAAGTGTTGAAACACAAGGTCTACACATCACAAGTTATTTGCTTGCCTGTAGCTGCAAACAAACGTCTGAACATATTTAGAATACAATAAGGATCTCATTACGGATTTAATTTTGCCCTTCCCTTCAGTTGCCTTCCTGGCTTTGGAAAGTTGTGAAGTTCAAGGCTGCACAGAAATGGAGGAAGATACATTCCTAGAGGCCCCAGAAGTTTTCTATTAAATTTGCTCTAAGACTTCCCATGTGGTTCTAATAGACACAGCTCTGCTCAGCAGTGCCCAGCATCAATACCACCACATGAAAGCAAAGCACATATCCCAGAACTGGCCTGCAAAGTGCTGATACTGTGAAAAGACAACACCAAACAAGTTTATCTTTTTTTTTTTTTTTCCCCTCTTCTTTTCTCCTTTAATCACCCATCCTACCCATTCGCCTTCTAAAACAAAAGTTACTTGGATAATGCAAAACAACTGCTGGGCTCACCCAAAGTCCGGCGCCTGGGGCTGAGACACTGGATGGCTCAGAGGATTAGATAAATGAGATAGAAAGTCCCTTGGGGCTCTTCTTTCAAGATCCGCACAATATTTATACACTTTCTCCACAACGGTCTCAGGCAAGAAGCCATGCACCCTGAGAACTCTTATTCAAACCATAATTCATCACACTTTCGTTCTGCAGACTGCTTAGCAAGAGCACGCAAGAGCTATCGTCCTCAGTAAACCAAGGCACGGTGCAGCAGCGCCGTGGCCATGGTCACAGAGTGGCTGGATGGGACAGCAAGCCCGCTCCCAGACCAGCTCTGCAACAACTCTGCTCCCTTCAACACTGGGATTGCAGCTAAGGCAGGCAGAGCAGAGACCTGGTGGTGCACCACCTTCAAACTGCTGCAGTCTGTCATCTCCGGTCAGACAGTCTGACTGAAAATGAGAACCGAGTAACAAAAAGGCATGATGGGACCTAAACCAATCAGTTTCAACCTTTTCAACAATCCCTTACCTTCTAAACAGGCACAAGCTTCATTTGGAACTACATGATGCTGCTAAGACAAGAGAGGAAAATAACGCAGCTTCCTTTTGGTTCTCACCCTGCACAGGAACACGGATTCGCCAGCACTGCTCAAACAAACGCAGCTCAACAGCAGTTTGTAATTAAATCATAATTGGGTTTCACACACATCCAGGTGTGCTGAGCATTTACTCGATGCAAGTGACCCACTTTCCACTCACTGGTGTAACAGTGGGTCTTTTGCACTTCTATTGCACACTCACCCCAAGCCCAAACAGCACCTTGGTCCTGAAAGCCATTCTTACATTCTCGGAAATCCCTGGGAGCAGCGCAGGAAAAATAGTGATGACAGGATCATACCTTTTTTCCCTGGTATATTAGACAAACCCCAGAAGAATGGAAACTAAGCATTTTATTTTTTCTTTTCGGAACAATGGACATCCTGCTGTGCTTTGTTCTGCATCTCAAAACATCCATCAGAGACATCCTCTGGCAGGAGGACACAGCATTTAATTTCTAAATCTATAAAGGTCTGAGCCAGGATCTAGAAGCAGAGCAGCTGCTCAGAACCGAGGCAGTTCTAAGAACGAGCAGAGGCAAAGCCACAAGTGTTAAGGAAGCTCACATGCTTAAGTACCTTCAGGTGGGCCAGCACCTGAACAGGGGCTCTCAGAATCATAGTTCTGGACTCAGATACCTCAATTTCAAGTCCCATTGAAGGGTTCACATCTTTTTCAGGATCAGGATCATAAATGTCTCGGACTTCACCCGGACCTATTTCTCCCAGCTGTATACTGGCATAATTTCTAGAGCACTTTGATTGTTTTGAATATTATAGTATTTAGCATTATGCAAGTGTCTTATTGTCAATCTAAAACCAATACTTATCCTTGATAATATCTGTAGCTCAACAATGTGAGTCTAGAAGTTTCATTTTAACAACAATATGATTAGCAAGGACCTACCTCCAAATAATTCTGGACTCCAACCACGGACTGATCATTTGAAGTCTCCATAACCCCACTGCAGAGCAAAACAAATACAATAGTTACTGGTACATGTCAAGACCCAAGGACTTGGCACAGAGTCCACCAACACATCCAGAAGTTAATGGGGGACAGTCATCCCTTACTGTCTTGCTATTGATTCTATTGAGGGACCTGGATCTTTTTACAGAACTTGCAGGGACCAAGCACTTTGATGAATGGAGAAGGAAACAGATGCAGCAGTTGTTTGCAAGAAAGGAGGCTGGAAATAAAAATCATCCTTCAAATTTCATTCTCTGGACTAGCCCTTCAGATGGAGGCTGACGTGTTGGGAAGATAAGGCAGACAAATCACCCTAGAAAAGATTTTGCAGATAAAACTGTTTCAGGGCCAGGAGTTGGTTGCCAGTTGCAGGTCCTTTTCTTGCAGGCCCTGTGGATGTCATAAAGGGGCTAAAAGACCACGAAGATGGTTTGTGAAGAGCTTCTTTCTCTCCTATGGAAGTCACAGCCATTCACAAAAGTTGCTGAAGTGTAGAGAGATACATCCCGAGGCTAAACCCAACCTACCTGTAACTACTCGGAGTAATTTAGGTCAGTGCCCACAGCGACACACACCGTGCACTGCAAAAGAATTGTGGGGTTTGGCATATGATGGTATTATTCTGTAAAATTCTCATTAAGATAGGCATAATTCCATGAGTTGGAGCTCCACAATTTCTCCCACATTTTTTTTTTTTTTAAATGTAAACAAGCACAGCTATACATGTGGGATGTTTAAGGCCTGGGGAAACCCAACCTCAGCTATCCTCCTGCAGGGCTCAGCCCACAGACCACTTCATCTGCACCTCTGGA